TATCAATAAAAACCATAAACAAAAGTAAAAGCCAATCAACATACTTGAGAAAAATATTTGCAGTATATAAGGATCAATATTACAAAAGCTTTTCCAAATCGATAAGAAAATATGAATGTACAATATAAAAATGAGCAAAGTAGTGTAAAGGCAAAAAGTCATTTGTAGCTACAATGATTGACAAATGTGTGGGAAAATGTCCAACCATTTCTTTGAAAGAAATGCAAGTGAAACACCATTTTTTCACTTTGAAATTGGCAAGAGTACAATGAGGCCAAACCATGGAGCTAAGGAGTGTGGCTCCATTTGGTAGACCATGGGGAGCCATTGAAGGTGTCTAAGCAGGAGCCATCTGCAGAAAGTGGGTATTGTGCCTTATATAGGATAGAAAAGAACTGTGAGGCAGGCTGGGCCAGCAGTCCAGGTGCAAGGAGATGTGACCCATCAGAGCACAAAGCAGGTTACAAGAAAAGAACAATTGGATTAAAATGCATCCAGAAGGAAAAACCAGCAGGTCTTGATGGTTAGCAGGGAGGGAGAAATCAGGATGGCCAGTGGTGTGGCTGGAAGGACAGTAAACTGATGCAGGGGAGGGAGGAGTGAGGGAAAGCCTGGGTTGTGTTTTTGACACTATGGATCATTGTTTGCCTCTGGAACCTCATTACTCAATTGACTTAAATGATGCAAATTACAAAAGCCTTTGCCGCCCCAGGTAATTGACAAGTCCTAGGTGAAAAGTTCAAGTGATATCACAGAAATGCCCACAAGCAGTTCCAGGTTCATGTCCTGCCAGCCGAGCACAGTCCTAGGGTGCCTGAATTGATCCAGATTGAGAAACATGAGCATTACTGACCTGATCTCTGGTGCTCTAATGAAGCAGACTAAGGTCATATGTGCTCTTTTGGGCCAGGGGTTGGGATCAGCTCTACCCAAACTCATTCAAAGTGGAGGAAATGATTCTCTAAAGGAAAATGAGGTGTCAGTCCACAAAGAAGGGTAAAGCCGAGCAGCAAAAGCAATTAATCTTTAAAAAATATTAAATTCTACTTCTTGGCCATTTAAGACCCTTACCCCTTTCCTAAATAATTTTTTAAGAATTTCCTTGTTTATCATAATGCATCTATCCCTCACAAAACTTTCAACCTGGTCTCCCATCTCTAGAAGGAGTGGTTTCATGTTCTCTTTCCATTACTACGTCCAGCCCCAATTCAAGATCTGGCGATGCCTTGTCTGATGAGGAACTGAGGGAGGCTCTCAGGGTCTTTCAGTTTGTGGTCACACTACCACGATGGAGGCAAACCTGAAGGGAAGGAAAAACACCTGCTTCGTGGCCCACAAGGTTAACTTAGATGGTAAGGAAGAGATTCCCTGACCCACCAGCCTGTTGCTTTGATTCTGCTGTCTTCAACCTTGGTGCTCTGTAGTCACATGGGAGAGGGGGACTGAGGGGTACAGGGTTGGTGAGGGAGGGAAAGATAGCAGGGGAGACCTTAGGACTAAGTAATCCTGGCCTTTGTTTTCTAGGTTTGCTAGATTTTTCTGGCAGTGTAATTCCCTTAATCATTAGAAGGCTTTTCAGTCAGTTTGCCTTCCATCAACCCCAGAGCTATTAGTCAAAGCTAGAGACCTTCATTGAAAGTTATAATTCTTGAATGGAGTCCCTGGTGTTTTTGATGAGGGAGGAGAAGGGTTGTCTCTTAGCAACAGGCCTAGGTGCTTGGCTATCCCAATAGCCTTGGGTTTGGGGGCCTCTAGCTGGGCCTCTCCCTCAGGGCAGTATAAACCCCTGGTGGGAGGCAGAAATCTTTTCCCTTTCTACTCAAGCTGCTTTCCAACAAAAACCTGCTCATAATGGAAGTTTCTGTGGTGCTGGGAGGGCACAGCAGGACCTGAGGAGTCTAGAGCTTTTCAGGCCCCAGGCTGATCTCCCTCTGAGTTTCCAGCCTCTCTCTCCTTGCTTGAGCTGACTTTAGTTGGAAGCAGAGAACTGGCTCTTAATTATCTTACTCTCAGCCACATTGGATTACTGGCCCCAGGTAGAAAGGGCCTCTTTGGGCAAGCCATTTTCTTCCTCTGCTTTTAGATGGGCTCCTTTCAGCCAGAGTGTCTCTTTCTTATTGGACCTGACTCGGGCTACCACAAAGGCCTCACTGCCAATATTTTACATTTTTCTGCAAGTCCCTTAAAGTTTCAGGGGCAGTAGGAGATCATTTAGTCAGCTGCTTTGCTACTGCATGACAAGGCTCAACAACTTCTAAGTAGGGTGCAGGAAGCAGTCCTAATTTAGGCTTCTCCCCTTAGTTAAGCTAATTCCTTCTTGGGGTTTATTATTTGAAAAAAAAAAATTCTATCTCTGATTCTAATTTCTTTTCTTTTTTTCTTTTAGTACCAAGCATTGAACTCAGGGTGCTTAACCACTAAGCCACATTCCCAGCCCTTTATTATTATTTTTTTTTATTTTATTTTGAGACAGGGTCTTGCTAAGTTGCTTAGGGCCTCGCTAAGTTGCTGAGGGTGGATTTGAACTTGGGATCCTCCTGCCCCAGCCTCCTGAGTCACCAGAATTACAGGTGTGTGCCATCACACCTGTCTGATCCCAATTTCTTCTTTTTTTTTCCAAAATATTTTAAATATAAAAAATGCCTTTATTTTGTTTATTTAGTTTTATGTGGTGTTGGAGATTGAACCCAATGCCTCACATGTGCTATGCAAGTGCTCTACCCCAAACCCTGTTTCCAATTTCTTGATCAGGATTTTTCCCTGATCAAGAACATAGACCCAACTGTAACTAACTTAAGCAAAAAAAAAAAAAAGGAGTTGATTGGTTCATGTAATTGAGCAGGCCAGGATCTTGCAGTGTCTCTGAAGAATTTCTCTCCCCGTCTTAGTTCTGTTTTTCTGGATTGGCTTCATTCCTAGGTGGTTCCTTCCCAAAGGAAACAAAGATGGCCTACTAGCTCTGGCCCTCTCCATCAACTTAAAAACCCAAACCCAAACCCAAAAAGGATTGGGTTTTTACTGGAATTACTGTCTCTTCCCAGTAGTTCCAGAACATTTTGAGGTTCACTGGCTCAAATTGGGTGCCCTGCTCATCCTAGGACTGTGATTGGCCAGGCTCATGTCACATCCCTCAGGCCATATGGATGGACTGAGAATGTGGCAAAGGAAGGCTGGCTCCCCAGGGTTAAAGAAGAGTGCTGATGCCAACAGGAGGACTGGGTGCTGGGTGTCAAAGGGAACACTCATCTACTCATACAGCCATGTGGAAATGGGAAAAGGCAAACAGAACTCAGGAGCTGGTCAGGATGAAGAGGCAGATGTGTGAGTCCGCAGCTTCAAGGTGTGAATGAACCTGTGAGTGAACCAGATTGCCTGGGAGAAGGATAGAGGCTGAATGGGGCACCTCAGGAAGAGACAGGAAATGTAGGGAGGTAGCAAAAACAGAAAGTCACAGAACCAGGAGGAAACTCCAAACAGGGCATCATCCTGGCAGCCTGTGAAGATGCAGGGACCAAAAGTATCCACCAAGAGACCAAGTGGGTGAAGACCCTTGAGGACAACTAGATTATTCCATTAGTGGTAATCCGTGACTCTGAGGATCATGGGGACAGCAGAAGGTGTTCGAGCCCAAATGCAAGCACTTAGGAAAAACCAGCAGTGAGGGAGCGGAAACTCCACAATCCAGGGGAGCCAGAAGTGTGTGGGGGTGGGGTGGGGCAGGAGGGGCTGAGGGTGAGGAGGGGATTGTGCCAGAAAGGGTGTGAGGAGAACAGATAAATAGGACCCTTAGAGTGAAGGGCAGGGCAGGTACACTTATTGGAGGCCTATCTAGCTTTTTCTAGGTTTGAGAAAAGGAACTATGTGCCTGGAGTAGCAGGGATGGGAACAGTGACACACACAGGTATCATTAATGATATCCAAGTGGAGAAACATTTGTCACTGCAACATAGTACCAATAATACAGCTTGTGTAATGGATGCGGTTTGCATGAGATAGAAATAAGCATTTTTTTTTCCTGTGCTGGGGACTGAACCCGAGCATGTTCTACCACTGAGCCACTTCCCCAGCCCAGCCCAGCCCCACTTTTTTGGGAGACAGGGTAAGGCTAACTTGCAGAGGCTGGCCTCAAACTTTTGGTCCTCCCACTCAGCCTCTCAAATCTCTGGCATTACAGGCATGTGCCACTGCAATTGCTTAAGCATCTTCTTTTAAGGATATTTTTAGATTTAACATACACTAAAGTATATATAAGGCAGTGATATTTGTGTACAGCTTGATGATTTATCTACACCTGTATACACTGCTCAGATCAAGATATAGAACATTTTCAGTATCACCTAAGATTCTCTCCTAACCCCTTCCTAGTCCTTACAGAGCTGGAACGCAAAGCCGCAGAGCCCCAGGGATAACCTCTGTTCTGATTTCTGTCATTATCAATTTTGTCTATTCTTGAACTCCCATCTCTGTGGAATCTTGTCGTTTGCACTCTGGTCTGGCTTCTTTCCTGCAAAATAATACTAAGTGGATTCATCCATATTGCTGTGCGTATCTGTAGTTCCTTTTATTACTGGGTAGCATTCAATTATGAATATACCACAGTTTATCCCTTCTGTTGTTTATGAGCACATGGGTTGTTTCCAGAACAGAGCCATTAAACATTAAAACTGATTCATTTTTTAAAAATTCTGTATTTTTAAAAAGAATTCTTTCTCCCTCTCCCCCTCCCTCCTCCCCCCCCTTTCTCTCTCATCCACCTATGTACAGGCCCTGCACAGGTGCCACAGCAGTACACTCCGCTCTGAGAGTTCTGCCATAGGTCTCCCAAGGCCCCTCCATTCCGGGCACGTGTTTCCTGGGAAAGTCACTTGATTTACACTTTCCTGGGAAAGTCACTTGATTTACACTTGATTTACACTTGATTGTGGATTCCGGCCCAGGGCCTGGGAGGTGTGGCTGGGAGAGGAGAATCATCCTCTTAAGACTTATTCCCTCTCTTGTAGCCTCCTCGACCCTGGTCGCGGGCACCCTGAGCCTTACTGATTCTGCAGGGGGGCTCGCCCGCGGCCCCCCATGAGCGCGCCCGGCTGACCCGCTGGGCGGCCGCGGTGGAGCCAGCACGCCGCGGGGGCGGCGGGGCCATGGCCTCGCTGGACCTGCCATACCGCTGCCCCCGCTGCGGGGAGCACAAGCGCTTCCGGAGCCTGTCGTCCCTGCGCGCCCACCTAGAGTACAGCCACACCTATGAGACTCTCTACATCCTCTCCAAGACCAACAGCATTTGCGACGGCGCCGCGGCTGCAGCAGCTGCTGCAGCCGCAGCCTCGGGCTTCCCGCTGGCGCCCGAGCCCGCCGCCCTGCTGGCTGTGCCCGGAGCCCGGCGCGAGGTCTTTGAGAGCACGTCCTTTCAAGGCAAGGAGCAGGCCGCTGGGCCGTCGCCTGCAACGCCGCACCTGCTGCACCACCACCACCACCACGCACCCCTCGCCCATTTCCCCGGCGACTTGGTGCCCGCCAGCCTGCCCTGCGAGGAGCTGGGTGAGCCGGGTCTCGTGCCCACGGCTGCCGCACGCTATGCGCTGCGTGAGATAGAGATCCCGCTGGGAGAGCTGTTCGCCCGCAAGTCCGTGGCATCCTCTGCGTGCTCGACGCCGCCGCCAGGGCCCGGCCCAGGCCCGGCTTCGGCCTCGCCCGCCTCCCCCTCGCCAGCCGATGTGGCTTACGAGGAGGGCCTGGCGCGCCTCAAGATACGCGCTCTGGAGAAGTTGGAGGTGGACCGGCGGTTGGAGAGGCTGAGCGAGGAGGTGGAGCAGAAGATTGCGGGCCAAGTGGGCCGGCTGCAGGCAGAGCTGGAGCGCAAAGCCGCAGAGTTGGAGACTGCTAGGCAGGAGAGCGCTCGACTGGGGCGCGAGAAGGAGGAGCTGGAGGAGCGAGCGTCTGAGCTCTCGCGGCAGGTGGATGTGAGCGTGGAGCTGCTGGCCTCTCTCAAGCAGGACCTGGTGCACAAGGAACAGGAGCTGAACCGCAAGCAGCAGTGAGTAGACCCTCAGGGCCCTGCTGGTGGGTGTGCCCGTGTGCCATCACAACCACCCTGAACATGCATGTCTGTATGTAGTCATAGCTAGGTAATAGGGGGTCTATGGTCATGAACTTGTAATATTGGTGTGTGTGGGTCCCAGAGTGTCATGATCGTGTGTGTGCAGGACCACGAGTACATACATGGCAGCATGATCATGCATGTGCTTATCTATGAAGATAGTGTCTGTTTCTGACCCTGCTCTGACTCAGCCAGGATCAGCCTGGCATTTTGGCACTGGATCCTCTTCCCTTTGCCCTACTCAAAGGTGTGGCCCAATTCTCCCCTCTCCCTTTTCTATCATCAAAATCTATCTATCTATCTATCTATCTATCTATCTATCTATCTATCTATCTATCTAATCTATCATTCCTAAAAGGATGCAAACATGATGTCATGTCTCCCATTTAACTTTATTTTCCCTTAAGCTGCTGCCTCATACAGAAAAAAATTTCATGAAAGTATTCCTGGTCTCCAATTTATTTTCTCACATTTTTTCTTGAACCCATTCTGATCAGGTTTCCAGTTCCACCACTGTCTTTGACCATGTTCCTAAGGCCAAGTCACCCTCTTTCTTGCCCTATCCACAGCAGATCCTTGAAACACTTTCTTCACTTGGCTCTCCCATTTTTTTTTTTTTTTTGGTCTGTTCCTTCTTATTCTTCTTTGCTGACTTTGCCTCACTTCTCTGATCTTTAAATGAAGGATTATGAACTATTCAAATGTTAGGTTTAGTTTTTTGGTTTTTTTTCCTGGTACTGGTGATGGAACCCAGGATTCCATCTTTACCAACAAAACTACGAGAGCCAGCCTTTTAAATTTATTTTTTATTTTAAAATGCATAGCCTGATATTCCTCCCATTTTCCAAGTCACAGGATTATAAGCATGTGCCACAGTGCTTGGCTACAGATGTTATTTATCTGTCCCCATTGCAATATAAGCTCCATGAAGGCAGGGGGTTTCTACTTTTGTTCAGGGAAGCTTCCCCAACATCTAGAACAGTGCCTAGCACTTATAAGGTACTCAATAAATGTTGAACAGATGCATGAACAACCATGGATGCTTTGGGGAATATAGACTCAGGTAATCTATAAGGTGTGCCATGTGTTTGTGCAACTCCTGGAGGTTGATGCAAACACTAATAAGCTTCTTGCATCTTAGTGTATTTCCCTATGTATTGAAGTGACTGAATACATTTTTCAATCTTTCAGAAAGTGTGTGTGTGTGTTTGAGTGTGTCAGTGAGACTGTGCCTCCATGATGCTTTGCATGTCTCAGACTGTGAGTATGTGCCTGGAATGGATACATGATGAGGGCACATTCATGAATGTGTATGAGCGGGTATGTGCACATGGCTGTGTGGCTCAAAGTGTGTGCCTAGTGCTGTTCCTTTGTGGGGAGGCTGTATATTGAGGCCATAGGTAACTGGGTGTCTGTGTTTTTGTGTGAGGATGATGTGTCTGGTTATGGGTTAGATGTAGGGGGCTGTGTGTGGGGCCATAAGCAGACATCATGGGCAGCTGTGCCCTGTGTCTCCCCACAAGGGAGGGTGGCAGGTCAACCAGGCAGAGGCTCTAGGGTAAAAGCCTGCTCTGGGCCCAGGGAGGTGGTACAGATTGACCAGTTCCTGAAGGAGACAGCAGCTCGGGAGGCCAGTGCCAAGCTGCGCCTGCAGCAGTTCATCGAGGAACTCCTGGAGCGGGCCGACCGTGCTGAACGTCAGCTGCAGGTCATCAGCAGCAGCTGTGGCAGCACACCCAGTGCCAGCCTGGGGCGTGGAGGTGGGGGCAGTGGTGCAGGGCCAGGGGCCCGGGGCCCAGGCAGAATGGTGAGTGCCCCTTTGTCCCCTCTTTTACCTGCTTATCTGGTCCCCACAACCTCCCCTCACACACAGCCTCACATCCCCCAGAATGCTGTGCTTCTCTTCTTTGATTCTCCCCCCAAGAATAGGCCTAGGCCTGAAGTGTGGATCTGGAACAAGGGGGCCCCTCTGGGCAGGAGTGCCATCCCCTGAGGCTGTCTCAAGGTGTGATCCAGCAGCCCCAGCCCTCAGGGGCCCATCTCTGCCTATCCCTGAAAATGAGAACCCAGGAGCCATAGCCTGAATTGGGGTGTGGGTTGGGTGTGGCCAGGGGGCTGGTGAGCCTCCCTGTTGGGGCTGTCTGTCTGTCCATTCGTCCATCCTTCCCAACTTTTTTTCTTCTTTTCTCTCCTCTCCTTCGTCTCTTCTCTCCATCTTGTACCCTCTTTCTCCTGTTATTGCCTCCTCATCCTCTTGCCTCCTCTGCCTCCCTTCCTTTCCCTCCTGCTCTGGGGGCCCACAGCGAGAGCACCACGCAGGCCCGGCCGTGCCTAGCACCTACGCGGTATCACGGCATGGCTCTTCTCCCAGCACAGGGTAAGCCTGGGGCCTGCCCTACCCTACACAGCCCACCCTCTCCCTGGAAAGATCTGCTGGCCATCTGGGGCTTCTCTCCTCCTGTGCCCATTCTCCTTGGGTCACCTATCTGTCTTTCCATACTCAGAGGGAACTTTTGGGAAGCAGGGCGGATGGGTTGCCCTTGATCTGTGGTAAGGGGAGGGTGGAGAATTCTGGCAACTTGATGCCCCTCGCCCCTCACCATCTGGTCCACCCTGCCCTAGGGCCTCCAGCCGTGTGCCAGCTGCCTCCCAGAGCTCAGGCTGCTATGATAGTGACAGCCTGGAGCTGCCCCGGCCAGAGGAGGGGGCACCTGAAGACAGTGGCCCTGGGGGCTTGGGCACACGGGCCCAGGCTACCAATGGTGGCTCAGAGCGGTCCCAGGCCCCTCGAAGCTCAGGCCTACGGCGCCAGGCCATCCAGAACTGGCAGCGCAGACCTCGCAGACACAGCACTGAGGGGGAGGAGGGTGATGTCTCAGACGTGGGCTCCCGAACCACGGAGTCCGAGGCTGAGGGCCCCTCAGATGTCCCCCGCCTTGGGCCTGCTATGGCTGGGCAAGTGAGCAGCTGCCGGCTTTCAGGTAAGTCCTGAGAGGAATGGCAGAGAGGCCAGCCTTCCCCAGGGTGCTGGGCCCTTCCAGGGGGAAAAAGGGCTAAGAGGGCAAATCTTCTGACCTCCTGCACTTCCCTTCCTCTTCTCCAGACCTGCCCACCCCTCCTATGAAGTGCCCTTCCAGCCTGGTGCAGAGACTTGAATGACAGGGTAGCCAGTGCAAGGATGGTACATTGGGGGACAGGGTCTGTATACATGCGGAGCTCAGTGACATGTAGAGGAGAGTGTTGACTCCAGACTCTGGAGCTCCCGGTACAGTGGGGAGCCCCATCTGCACACAGGCCACACACATATGCAGAGGCATCAGGAAGGTAGGAGTTAGGGTCAGGGTTGACTTTTTAAAAAAAATTTAATTTTTAGTTGGATATAATACCTTTGTTTATTTATTTTTTAAGTGGTGCTGAAGATCGAACCCAGGGCCTCCCACGTGCTAGGCGAGTGCTCTACCACTGAGCCACAACCCCAACCCAGTGTTGACTCTTAAAAAAGAAAGTTTATATGAGGAAGGAATACCTTTGCTAATATGTAAAAGTAAGGGTGGCTGTACCATAGCAGAGGGGAAAGCAGATTGGCCTTCCTCCCAAGCCACTGGTTCCCCCAGCATGGGTCTTATGCCCATTCCTCTTGCAGCTCCTACCCTGCCCCAGCTCCTCATCCACATCCTTGCCCTGGCCTTTGACCTTCTATTGTCACCTTTGCTCCCTTGTGTTTGCAGCCCGCCCCGAGGGAGGCAGTGGACGAGGCCGGCGAGGGGAGCGGGGTAGCCCCTCACGCTCCAACGAGGTCATCAGCCCAGAGATCCTTAAGATGCGAGCTGCCTTGTTCTGCATCTTCACCTACCTGGACACACGCACGCTGCTGCATGCTGCCGAGGTCTGCCGGGACTGGCGCTTCGTGGCCCGTCACCCTGCTGTCTGGACAAGGGTGCTGCTAGAGAATGCGAGAGTGTGTTCCAAGGTGCCTACCTCTGCCCTGCTGGGAACCCACCTTTCCCCCTGGCAGAATCTGGTCCTTGCAGCCCTGGCTCCAGCCTGGCTCCCCCAAATCCTCTCACAGAGCCTCCTGTTCTGGGCTGGCTTTTCTCCAGCCAGCCAAGTGCAGACCCCCTGTTCTCCATGTACCCTCCCTCTTACGCAGTTTCTGGCGATGCTGGCTCAGTGGTGCACGCAGGCCCACTCGCTGACCCTGCAGAACCTGAAGCCCCGACAGCGGGGGAAGAAGGAGAGCAAGGAGGAGTACGCCCGGAGCACCCGGTGAGGCTGCGGTGGGTGGGCGGGTGCTCCTGGGCCCAGACTTGGAATGAAGTGGGGATGCTTTCCAGAGGAGGAGGTGACCACAGGCAGGTGACCTCTTGGTCATCCCCAGGGGCTGCCTTGAAGCAGGGCTGGAGTCCCTGCTGAAGGCAGCCGGGGGGAACCTGCTGATCCTGCGCATCTCCCACTGTCCCAACATCCTCACCGACCGTTCACTCTGGCTGGCCAGCTGCTACTGTCGTGCCCTGCAGGCTGTCACCTACAGGTGGGTTCCTTTTACCAGAAGCAAGGCTTATACCCTATTGGCCTGGGACCCCAAGGATCCCTAGACACTGCATGGCCTTTCCCCAGGTCCTCAGACAAAGGCACCCAAGAGCTCTGTGACCTAAGGGAAGGAAGGATTGACAGGGGAGAAACCGCCAGGATGAGCCACTCCAGCCTTGTCTTTTCAACAGGAGTGCCACAGACCCAGTGGGCCACGAAGTTATTTGGGCTCTAGGTGCAGGCTGCAGAGAGATTGTCTCCCTCCAGGTGGCGCCTCTTCACCCCTGGTGAGCTCAGGCTGGGTGGGTGGGGAAGGGAAAGGGTTGGATCTGGTCTGGGGCTGAGGACTGGACAGATCTGAGCCCATTCCATAAGCTCTTGAGGAGACAGGTTCACACACATTAATCTGCACAATGAGGCATTAAGAATAGAGCTTTAAAATTAGACCTAGAAGTCATGACTTGGCTTAGTGGCAGTGCCATTGTGAGCAACCTAACGGCATGTTAGTTTCTCAACTTGCAAAGTGAAGGTGATATTAGGAATCTACTGACCTTATTAGAGCTGTTACTGGCTTCAGTGAGATTATACCACAGAGCCTGTGGGCCCCACAGTAAGTGTTCAGTAAACACAGCTAAAAGTAGCAGGGTTTTGTTTGACACACGACAGGCAATTCTGGGTCAGTATGTAACATATAAGAGCTGATCGTTGGAGAATTCAGGGTGTGAAATCATCCCTCACTCTACCTATAGTTCCTATAGTTCTAACCCTCCCTGTTCCTTGCCCTCCAATCGTTCTCCATGTGCTGGCCCCTCCCAGCCCATCTAGTGTACCTTCCCTAACACCTTGGTGGAAGCAGTCATTGTGCTCCTGCTTTGATTCCCATTGCATCTTGTCCTGACACTTGCTGTTACCGGTTTTGCAATTATTTCTGTTTCAGTCTCCTACATTAGACTTGTAGTTCTCAGAGCAGAGTCTGTGAATGTCCATTTCTGTATCCCTGGTACCAAGTGCTTAGCAGATACCAAAGAGATGTCTATTGCTTAGGTGAATGTTGAGAGATGGCAAGTCTGATGTTCAGGGAAATGGCAAATCTGGTGTGGACAAGCAGGTTGGGAGAGGGCAGGCAGGGCCATGTTAAGAGGTTTAGGTTTTTGCATTTTATCTAGAAAGTACTGGGAGACTATTGGAGAATTTTAGGTTTTAAGTAAAGTACTGAGATCAGACTGCCAAAGTTCTATAAAATAGACTGCCCATGCTTTGAGGGCAGGGACCGTGTCTGCATTGTTACCACTGCACCTCCAGGGCCTGGCTCAGTTGTTCTTGGCTGTAGCAGACACTTGATAACCATCTGCTGAATTACACAGTGAGTGGCTGTAGGAATGAATGGTGCACTGTCTGCATTGTGGAGCATGGATTGGCAGGGAGACTGGTAGTAATCTAGCTGAATCCAATGGTGGTCTAAACTGTGGTACAGGAGTTACTCAGGAATCTGAAACTGCAGAACATGGCAAGAGGTGAGAGGGGCGAGTCAGGGATGATGCCAGTGTTCTGACTTGGCCAGCTGGGTTGTTGTCAGGGTACTTGCCTGAGGCAGGGAGGGATCCCCCAAGAGGAATATACTCGCTTGGGGTATCAGGCATCCAAAGGCTTCCCTGACTGTCCCCTCCCCATTCTCCAGCCAGCAGCCCACGCGCTTCAGTAACCGCTGCCTGCAGATGATCGGTCGCTGTTGGCCCCACCTCCGGGCTCTGGGGGTTGGGGGTGCCGGCTGTGGGGTGCAGGGCCTGGCATCACTTGGTGAGTCCCTTGGGACTGGGGTGGGGAGAGGTGAGAAGCTGGTAAGGGTGCAATAATATCCTGCAAAATTCTACAGGGGATTGGGGCTGCATCTTGGGTGGTGACAGGGGACCAAGGGTGTTGGGCAGGAAGTGACCTAGGGAGTTTGTCAGCAGGGCCTGCCTTCTTCCTCTTCCTAGCAAGAAACTGCATGCGGCTGCAGGTCCTGGAGTTGGACCATGTGTCAGAGATCACCCAGGAGGTGGCAGCTGAGGTCTGCCGGGAAGGCCTGAAGGGACTAGAGATGCTGGTACTCACGGCCACCCCTGTCACTCCTAAGGCCCTACTGCATTTCAACAGTGAGTAATGGGGGAATGCAGGGCAGGATATGGTTTTCACCTGTCACCATGGCCTATCAGCAGTAGCATAAACAATTCCCTGATGCTCTAATCAGCAAACACCAGCATGGGGGTGGGGGGCAGACAGCAATATCTGGTCTTGGCTTTGCCAGCAGTGTCTTCTTAGGCCAGTGGGCATTCCAAGCCTGCCAGTATCCACTCCTAATAGTCTAGTTCCAAAGATATCTGTTGTGCTTTGGCATAGTCTCATTGGAGCCAGAAGCCATGCAGAAATTGTCCCTGTGTAAGTCTTCACCAGGGCTGAGGCAGGAGAGCAGACAGATTAAAAGTGCAGTTTCTAGAGCTAGACTGATCTGGGTTTCAGCTCTGGGTCTACTGCTTGTTTAGCTGTGAATTCATGCAAATTACTCTACCCCTCTGAGTTTTACATTCTCATTCACTGACTTTCTTAGAATAGGTGGGCAGAAATGTGTGTAAGCTCCCTAGGACAGTTCTTAGGCCTCCTCTGGGCCTTCACCTAATACTACCCATTCTCCACTCTGTCACTTCTCTGCCTTCACTGAGGACAAGGGTACCCAGCTTGGGCTGCTTCCCCCAAATGAGACCATCATCCAGGACTTTGTGGCCCTTGGGAAGACCCTGTTCCCAGATTGAAGGTTCCTTTACCTTATCAACTCCAGGACCCTCCTCTCCCCTCCCCTTCAGCCCCATGTCCACACCCTGGATACACCATCAGGACAAACTGCTCAGCCTCAAATTCATACTCTCCAGGCTCCTCAGCCCTTGACCTTAGTGAGCAGCCACATTCCATCCTGTAAACCCTGTGCAGCCTGCCTGGTTTGTCCCCGTCTCCTCCACCCTCATGCTCAAGCTTCCTCTCAGCCACTCTGTTCCTTATAATCACCTCCAAGTGTACAGACCAGGGTAAAACTGTCCCCTCTGCCAGGGAATTTGCTAGAACTGCTGAGCAGTTGGCTGTTGTCCACTTGTCTTCCCAGAGTGCCTTCATCCACCTTCTCCCTGGTCCAGTTGTGCATCCCAGGCCATCGTAGGCCTGCTGCCACATGATGGTTCCTCAAGGAGTATCTGATGTCATTAATCAGTGAAATGAGAGGTGGTAGCCCCACTGTGCAGGCCAAACATGGGGCCTCCTTATCCACCTTTCCCCAGGCATCTGTCGGAACCTCAAGTCCATTGTGGTCCAAATTGGAATTGCTGATTATTTCAAGGAGCCCAGCAGCCCTGAGGCTCAGAAGCTATTTGAGGATATGGTGACAAAACTCCAGGTGAGAGGTTGGCTCCAAGGCCAACCAAGATCCCCAAGTGACATTCCTAGGCTGGGGCTGGTGACCTGGGTGAATGTGGAGGGAGGACCCCACCAGCTTTGCAAGAGAACTAACTCAGGGCTTGGTTCACAGGCCCTGCGACGAAGGCCTGGCTTCTCTAAGATCCTGCACATCAAGGTGGAAGGTGGCTGCTAACCCGGGGGGCAGGGGGTGGCAGGACACCTGCTAGCCCCACACCAAGGCATTATTTGTACCTCCAGAGGGATCCTGGTTTGGACTAGACCTTTGGAGGCCTAGTGTTATCCCAGCTTCCAGGGAGGGGTGGAGTATCCTGTCCTACTGGAACAGCAGAGCAACAGGTCTGACCCAAGGCAGGGGCTTGGACAGAAGCTGCCCTCTGACCCCCACCCTATCCCCTCTGGAGCAGACTTCTGGCACAGCCAGCGAGGAGCTGTCACCACCAGCACTGGTGTCTTCACTCGGAGGATCTGCAATAACTACCAGTGGCTCCTCAGCTGCTCAGGCAGGCCTGTCTTTCCTGAGGCCCCAGGCCCCAGGGAACCCCACAAGGCAGCTCAGACTTGGCAGGGAGGGCTCTTCTCTCCTACCTGTTCCACCCATTCTCACAACTTGCCTGGGCCCTGGGTCTACACTCTCCAGGGATAACCCAGGCAGGTCTAGGGACCTAGGTACAGTCATTAAAAAGCTGGTGGCAGGATTGGAAGGAAAAAAGTTACCTAGAACTTTTCCCCAGAATGAAACCACTCCTCCCAAGGTGGGCACAAAAGGGGATGGGAGTGGCTTCGAGGTGGAGAAAACTTACTTTTTCCTGTAAGAAAGGCTCCCTACCCAGACACACACCCTCCAGAGTGAAACTCCGAGCTAAAAGGTGCATGTTTCTATATCTACCAATCACTCTCAAGAAATTGAAGGGAGGGTGAAGGTGCCAGCCCTGGGAGGCCTGCCTATAGTGAGAAGGAATTTCCTTTTAATCCAGGTGCTTGGGCAGGAATGTGATGGCCTTTGGGTCCCCTATGCTATCTAGGCTGTCTGGGAGTGGGGCACTGGGCTGCCCACTGTGCTGGGTCCTAGAGGAGGGTGGTTGACTTTGCTTCCTGTCTAATTAGCTTGCTTGAGAATGTGGCTTTGGCAAGGACAGACCTAGGGCCAAGGAAGAGGTAGAGCATCCTAATAGACTTGCCCCTTCCTCAGTCTCCACCAGCCACAGGCTAAGGCTGCAGCTGGGGTCTTCTGCCTCAGGGCTTAGAAGCCACAGAATGCCACTGGGGGTTTTCACTGGCCCTTGCACAGTCCCCAGAAGATCAGGTTCTGGCACCAAGGTTACCCCAGTTTATCCCCTCAGATTTACCACAGTGATTCAAAGGCTGGGGCGTCCTGCCAACCTATTTGGACAGTTCTTCCCAACATGACCTAAATCCATCTTAGAGTTTTCTTCACTCCTGTATAAGGTCAGTTCCCAGCCTTGCCATTAGGCTGTTGGTCCTGACTGGATCTGGGATTCTCATTTCCCAGGCTTTTCCAGGGACCCAATTCTGCTGCCACTTGGCTTGAACATCTAGCCCAGCCCTGGGTTACCTTGTAAAAGTTCTCTAGAACTGCACCCCGATGCCTGGCCTCAGCAGTGCTCCCAGCAGCCCCAGGTGTCCTGGCTTCTCATCATTGCTTTGACTTTTCATCCTGTGGCCTGCTGTGTTCCTGCCCTTGGAAGACCTGGGCTACCAAGGGTGTCATGTCAGCATCCCTCTGTCCAGTCCTGCACAAAGCCTTGGCTGTGTGTAGCACCGCACCGCCACTCCTAGTCCCTGCAGCTGCCTCCATTAGCTTCCACCTCCCCAGTCCTGTCCCTAAGACATACAGGAAAGAGCAGCACAACTTTCTCTCTTCCAAGGGCCTGGGAGGGAAGTCAAGGTCTACTCAGGCCCTTGCTTCCCTGGGTACATCTGCCTTGTCATACCAACTGTACCCCTGTGGCCTTTGCTCCTTATGACTCGAGGACCAAAGTGCCACCCTCCCTGTCTTCTGGACAAAGCACAAAGGGATCTCCTGCTTGGTCTAAGCCTGCCCAACATAAGGGTTTTCTGTGCCCCAGAGCGCCTCCATCACTGAGTACAAGGCTCTAGGCAATTTCTCCCTGAGTGGCACTCACTGGAGTACCTGGCATCAGCCTTGGGAAAGGTCAGGTGGCATAAGCAGTAAGCTCAGTGGAAGGGTGCTGATGCTAGTCACAGGCTCCTTCACTGCGCTATTCACACAACAGCACTGCATACCACCAGCACTAGGGGCAGAAGGGTGAACAGGCCCCCTCTCCTGCCCGGTAAAGTTGGCCTTCTTACAGGTCTGTTTCCAGGAAACCCACCAAGTTCATCCAGTATTTTCAGGTTATGTGAGTGAGAACTATGTGGGAGTACATATGGCAGAGGCCCAAGCCCTTGTCAATGCAAATGACAAGACACAGTGTGTCCCTTGCACACCCACCCCTGGACTGGCAGCCTTGTATGCCCTGGCCTTTGCGCATGCTGAGAACCAGCAGCTTCCTGCCTCCTACCTTGATGCTATTCATTTCCTCTGGGGATGAGCCATGCTACTGGACAGGAAACCTACTTGCTTGGGTGCTCCATTTATTCACTTCCATGGCAACCATTCAGCTGGGGCCAAGGAGGGAAACCAGAGGGCCAGTCTTCCAGAAGTGTTTCATCCCACCTTTACCTCCTAAAAGGGAGCCCTTAATCTCATACTTGATAGGATGCAAAAAAGGAATAATGACATTTTGCTTACCAAGGCAGGCCCTGCTCCAAGGACCCCAGGTCAATGGAGAGATCCCAAGGTGCCATCTAATGTCCTTTGCACTTCAACACATATAGCCTGGCTCCAACACCTGGAAGGTGGGCACATTTGGCCTGAGTTCTTCATGCTTTATTCCAGCTGCTTTCCCTCAGCACTGGCAAACAGTAAAGATGCATAATACATACCCCTACAGGGGAAAGTGGGCTGCCCAAGACCCCTGCTTTTCATTAGCCAGGAAAGACCACCCAGAGAGCATGACCTCTAATGTTTTCTTAGCCCTGATGGCAGAAGTTGAATCAGTCCCTCAGGAATTGCTTCAAAAAAAAAAAAAAGGCCTGGGAATATGGCCCAGTGGTAAAACACCCCTGAGTTTAATCCCCAGGACTGAAGGAAAAAAAAAAAAAAAAAGACACCTCCTGCCCCAGGCCTGCTGCTCTAACATGTGGCTCTGTCCTTTGCCTTTGGATCCTGCCTATCCCCCTGGTCTCGAATCCTTTGGAAACAGGTGGGGGAGCCACCAAGGCCCCAATCCCTCTAAGGCGCTAAGTTGAAGGAGACCCTCCCAGAGTGACTTTTGGTGCCAAAGACCCAGTTCCTGGTGAATTTGGAGTGGAAACAGGAGGTGAGTGGGGTATGGTCGAAGTGCCCAGAGGAGTTAACTCCCACCCATGGGATCTACCCTGGCCTGCCAATCCCTGAGGAGTGTTGACTTCCCTCCTCCAGGGGCTTGGCACTTCTCTTGACCCCTGGTGGCCATGCTTTCTCACCCAGCCTTGTTCCAGGCCTGCTTTCCTGTACATATTGCTGTGTATCGTGTGTATGTATCGATTCCTGGACAAGTGTGTTCATCTGCAGCCCTTGCCTGAGGATAAGGCTTAGGGTTGGGTGAAGATCAGAATACCAGGCCTCCCTCCCCAACTCCTTGGGACTTTGGCCAGTCCCAAGACTGCCCTGACAATCAGGCAGGCCCCCACCACAAGGCCAAGCCTCTCCTGTCACCACAGCACAGCCCCAGGGAGGCTTGGACTGGGGCCACCAGCCTAAGCTCTGCCCCAGCAGTGGTCTTATACTAGGGGCAGAGGCCTGAAGTGACTCAGGCTTGGCCTGGGATGGTGCCAGTAGGCTTGGCTCTAGGGGGCACTGCTGGTGGGGACCTCCACAACTGGCCTCTAGGCCCCGCCTTCCCCACACAGCCAGGCTGCAAGGACCTGAGCTGTGTGAGAGGTAGCTTCCCCCACCCCAAGCACACCAGGCAGAGGGGTGGAGAGCAACTTTTGGTTTTACTTTTGTTTCTAAAGTGGTGCCTGTATCTCCAGCCCCCAGGGGGCCTTCCCTGGCCCCACTTCTCTGCCCTATCCAGATATTGCCATCCTAGCACTTTGCTCCATGTTACCCATAAATGCCCTTTGCCGAATGTACCTGAGTGTATGTATTTAAAAGGACTCATATGGGCATCAGAGAATTTATAACTCTGTATCCAATAAAAGATGGTGAAACTGGTGTATCTACCCCAGAACCATATTCATTAATGTTACCACAGCCTTGCACAACTAAAGTGCACTGGGGCAGGAGGCTGGTAACCCAATCAGCATTAATGGGGTGAATGATCAGGAAGAGTCACCCCAGGGATGCAGAACATGCTGGAGGAATGCCATTCACATTATTGTCCCCATCACAGCTCAACCCTGCTTTCAGTGTCTGCATTCAAACAGATGGACTTGAAACAAGTCACTTCTGATTGTCAGCTTGGAGAAGCTATCTTCAAGGGCAAACCCAGCACAAAATTCAGGAGAAGTAGCAGGAATTGTCCCCTACCAACACTGGCATGTGGCCACATCCTTAGGAAGCTCTGAGCAACCAATCAGGCTTTGATCTAGGGGATACCAAGTTGCCACCATGGTCTTGCCTTGAATTATACATCTTACAAAATGGGCTTGCCTCACTAATTTGATTACTAGGGTCTGAAAATATTTAAAATGGGAAAAAAGGACAGATGTTTAGGCTTCAAATGCATCTAGAATGGGCATTTAATCCAACTTTGTGAGCCAACTGTTCTTACCTTGTTGTACTTGTGAAATAGGTGAGGCTCAGAATAATAACTTATCTAAAGACTACCAAGTTGGCAGGAATACCTGCTGCCCATTCTGCTGTTGAGTCCATCTAACCACAAAAGCTGAGCCCAAATTTTTCTAAAATCACTTACTAGTTTCAGGCAGCTGCCTTCAGTAACTCAAGGTGACAATCATTACTTCTAGCTCTAACAATTATTTAGTACAGCACTAGCTGCAGGCCAGCTATGAGGATCAGTTTGACTGAGATGACTGTTAGATCTGTCGGAGTTCCAGGAGGCTCTGTGGCAGCCTTGCCAAACTATCACTGGTCATAAGAAAACACAAGGACTCATAAAATCACTGGTGGCTGAACAAAAAATACCAAGTGGGAGCCCTCAGCTTCCTTCTCAATGGATTTAAGTCACCAGAGTTATGAGAGGATGTGACCTCTGCCAAACTTCAAGATCTTGAATAAGAGGAAACAAGTCTGAGTCCAGAGAACATGGAGAGGCAGACAAGGTAATACAACATCTACTCAAACCAGAGAATCCCCAAGAGCAGGGTCCAGGCTAGGGAGGGTGAAATAAGCTATCAAGAAAAGGAAGTAACTCCACACAATCTAGCCACTTCTGGAATCAACATAATCACAGCGAAACTTCAGAGAACTCCTTTTTGTATCTCTGAGTACATACATGCAAAGCACAAATTCTGAGTTGCAATGAGTAAAACAACTATGCCCAAATAATTTACAAGGTTAATTCCAAGTCTGAAATTTTATTTAAATAATCACTAGTGGAAACAGTGGGCCAACTACTACCACTTCCTCATAACATCAGCTAACCAAGCCAGAGAAGGCAAGCACACCTGCAGCCAGCCTGCCAGTCAGTGTGTGATGGGTGTGCACCTCTCACTGGAGGCGGCCTCGGCCCCGGCCAGCTGCTGGAGGAGCATCCACAGTGGAGCGAGGGTTCTTGATGGTCTCATCTACAGACACGATAAGGCATGCAGCTTCAGAGGCTGCTGTCAGGGCATTGATCCGCACCATAGCCGGCTCCCACACAAAGGCATCGAAGTTGTCAGCAATGTCCTCATTGTTGATGTCCACCCCATACCACATGCCCCCCTGAAAGAATAAGGAAAAGAGGAGAGGCAATATGGCACTGATCCTAAGTTTCTTACACACAGCTCCATGCTCTCTCCCAGGACGCTGTTTCCATGGCAGGCAATGTGGAATTTGCCTGAAGAGGAGGCAGTTACCCAGTCACACTAGGTTTAGTTCCAGCCCATCACTGGGGTCAAGTATGTGCACTTGAGTAATAAGCACAACACACTCATGATCTAGTCCCACCCACCCAACCCCTGGATTCTGACGAGAAGAACCTACCTGGGCATGCCGAGCCCGCAGCTTGTTGAGGATGTTTGTGGCATCAAAGCCAGCATTGTCACACAGCTGACGTGGGATAATCTCCAAGGCCTTGGCATATGCCCCAATCAACAGCTGCTGTTTTCCTGGAATAGTCCTTGAGTAATCCCGAAGGTACTTGGAGAGCTCCATTTCAATGGCTCCACCACCAGCCACCACTGAATCATTCTGCAGAAACCAGACCACCTCTCAATGCAAGCAGATCATGGTCCTAGCTCTAAGCTGGCCACCTGGTAGGTCCTCTGGCCCAGAAAATGGTGTTTTCTTCCTTACCCCAAACGAAGCCCTAAAATAGCCCAGACATGGTTCCCGTCTAACACACCCCAACTCCAACCTAGTAAACCATCAAGAAACATGCAATTTGAGGACAGTGACATAATCACTGGAATACCCAACTACATCAACTCCACACTTTGCTAACAAGAACTAGCCTTAACCTTTAAGACAACATAACCTATTTTTGAGACTAAAGCTGACTTTTTCTATGATTTCTGGGGCCAAAGAGAGCCCACCACGCAGGTAAGGGATCACCATACAAATCCAGAGTCTGAACATGTAGGCAGATAGAGCTGTGTAGATAGGAGGCCAGTACCTTGATGGCCCTCCTGACAATCATGATGGCATCATGCAGGGACCGTTCTGTTTCCTCCATAAACTGCTCAGCGCCTCCACGGAGGATGAAGGTACAAGTCTTGGCCTTGGGGCAGCCAGTGAAGAAGTTATACCTATGCTCAAGATGAAATCGCACACATGTGAACTATTTCCTGCTGCCATCTTGCTGGATCTGTTCTCCCCACCAAGCCCTCGACACTTAGGAGCTGCTCTTCTGTTTTCATTGAGGCTACCCAATCCCAACCTTAAAGGCATTTTCTTGGGAAGATCTGTGCTAACCTTGGGGGAATCAAGATTGTGGAATCAGACTTAAGACCCAACAGGCTCTTCTCCCCCCCTCCCTAACATTCTTCATGCCCCCCAAAGGTAACATCTCAAAAAAGGAACAACAGTACAAGCTGTGCCCAGAAGATGACAAAAAGCCAGACCCACTCACCTCTCGCCTCCAATCTGGGTCTCTTCAAACACCTGGCAGTAGCCTAGCACATCTGCTGACAGAGCATTCACACTAGTCTGGATAGAGCCTCCACAGGCCTAAAGAGCAAAGAAGGCAGAATCATCTAGCAGCAAAGGCTCCCAATGAGGCTACTCAGCTCCCTGTCACCCAGTTTCCAAGCTAGTTCCCTTGCAGGACTCTGCCAAAGCAGCCCAGAGCCCTCTGTACTACATACATCTACCCTTTTCCCCCAACCTCCAGCGGACCCTTAAACGCCTCTGAAAGCAGAAAACAAAACAGTTTAAGAAAAGAAAAACATCTGCCAGGAAGCCCACTCCCAATGAGATTGTCCAGTTAATCACAGTGCTACTGCTAGTTCTCTCATGAACGATATTTACTTCCTGACCTGTTTGTGGTTGTTAGGCACAGAAACACTGGGAATGAAGGATTTCCTGGCAGAAAGAGTTAAAAAGACAGGGCCAACCAAATATGGTATACCAGCGGTAGCTGAAATCCCCTTGGGGCCACAAAGGCCAAAGAGCAGCCTGTGAACATTTGGTTACCATCATGGTCCTCTTCAGATCCTCCTCAGGTACGCGTCCAGCACAGAACATGTCCCTATCAGCAAAGTACTGAGTGGCCACATCCCCAATGGGGAGTTTAGACAAGATGACTTTGGCTCCAGAACGATGGATCTTCTCTAACTTGTCATACAGAATGTTCCATTCGGCATCAACAATTGCCTGATAATCCTGAAAAGACCCAGAAAATGATGAGGATACATTGGCATTTAGGATAGGCTAAAATAAAGAATGCTGCTGTATCTGGTAATTAACAGGGGTAAATAGCTACTCTTTAGTCCAAACAAATGAGGCCCTTTTAAGATAATAGGAACCATGTAATACTTTCAAACACAAAAGCAGAAATTAACCCCAGGGCAGGGAGCTACACCATAGTTGGCACAGCCAAGGTGTGAAAAATAGTTTCCCATAGGAGTCCTAACCTGCACTGAGGTGCTGCACCATGGGCTTCCCAATGATAAGACCTCCTCCTCCCCACCAAAGGCCACCCTGAACTGGGTGAAATGGTGTTTCCAGCAGCAGCATTGATAACAGCAATGACAGGAGTGCGGTGGGAGGAGGCTGACTAGGGTAAAGCAAAATATCAGGCAAGATATATAGCTAGAAAGCCTCTGTCAATACCGCCCCCAGGGCCAGAGCACAATATTTCAACAACTCTTCTGTATCCAAATTATGCTAGGCTGAGATCACTAGGGAAGAAGCATAGAGTGAGAAAAGCAGTGTTTCTGGTATTCAAATATTAATGCTTGGGGTAGGGGGAGGAAAAGGGGAATATAAGAAGCCTGAGAAGCAGTGCTAGACCTGAGACAGTCAAGACCTGAGGCCCTGGCCCAGAAAGATACCCACTCCCACACCGCCTCCAGCTGGTAAGGCCTACCTCCACTGTGTGGACTCTGATTTCAGCATTATCTTTCTCAGCTTTCAGCTCAAGCTCAACATTTAAAAGGGCAATTGTGGGGTCCTGGTACTTTTTGGGTTGCATTTCAAAGCCAGCGTAAGAGAAAGTCTTCTTGAATGCAACACCAGCCACCAGCTGAGACTCCTAGTTAGAAACAGACAGTTAGTTCAATGGTTTGGTACCAGCATAAAATAAAAAACAAGCTGGGCACGGAAGCACATGCCTGTAATCCCAATGGCTTAGGAGACTGAGGCAGGAGGATGGAAAGTTCAAAGCCAGCCTTAGTAACTTATTGAGACCCTGTCTCTACACCTCTGGGTTCAATCCCTGGTACCTGCCCCCCCAATTCAGGTTTGTACTTTGCTGGGTTAGTACTTGTCCATTTCTGTAACCCTGAAAGAGTTAACTATTTCTTTATTTCACTGCCTTCTCATTAATAAAAATTTTGGAACAACTCATTTTTTAAAAAAAACATTTTTAGTTATCCTTTTAGTATGAGGGAAATCATTCAGTTTGCAGAGACAAATTTAGGACTGTCTTTTAAAGCACCTGCCAATGAATAACTCTATATTCACATACAGTGTCAGGAAAGGAGACAGGCAGTTATGTTAGGGTAGGAGCTGAGCAATGCAGCCTTCGTCTATCCCCAATTCCCTACCCACTGTGCATACGCGTGAGCGCACACACTCACACACACAATCACAGTGTGTATGTTATAGTCTAGAAGGCAAAGACAAAAGATAATAAAAGTCAGTTATCATTATGGCTCATCACATATTGATCCCTTCCAGACCTTCATCACATATTGATCCCTTCCAGAGCTTCAACCACATTTTTCTTAACAGAACTTCCTGTGGGTTGGATTTAATAGCAGAACATAACAGAAAGCATGTTGCACTTCAGACTGACTTAGGCATTGAGACTTCGGTTCAAATCTCAATTCTCACGAATGACCAAGTCTTTCCTCATTCCGTGAAAAAGGGTAATCAGTTCAATGATCTTTAGGTTCTCTGCCCATATAAGTCTATAATACTGTAGCCTATCAGTGAGTAGTATACACCTCCGGTTCCTGCATCAAAACCATGGCCTCCCAAATCCATGGCCTCTAGTTCCTGCATCAAATCAAAGACCTCCTAAAGAGAGTGATACCTAAGCTGAATCATGATGGACAAACAGAAATTAGTCAAACAAAAAAAGAAAGGAGTGTTTACAAGAGATGGGGGGCAGTGTCGTGGAACCAGGGAATGAATAGCCCTTTGAACTGCTGGAAGACAGGACAATTCCAGCCAGAGAGGAGTAGGGGGAGGTGGGCAAGGGCCAATTCAGGAGTACTTTATAAGCCCATGAAAGCCTAGCTCTTAGGCTACAGGCAATATGGACCCAGAAGGCTTTACTCAGAGTAGTAAAGCAGGGAATTCCACCCTGTAACATGAAGAATGATCTAGGGTATGCAAGACTGGAGAAGGGTGACAATGGTCCTAATAAAAGTGATGGATAAAAGAAATAATTAGTAAATTAGTAGGTAAACAGTGGTTGACAGGGAGTGGGAAGTCAGTAAAGTTTTCAAGGATGCCCCTAGATTTTTAGTGTAACAGAATAAACCAACTATGACATGGATTATACAAAATACTACTGGTTTATAGAACCGGACAATTTAATTAACAGATACAGGAACATGAGGCTCAGGGGTGAAATGAGGATGAAAGATATAAATCAGAAGGTTCTCTATTAACCTTAAGTAAAGAAGCACTACCTAAATTCTGAGTTAGGTTTTATGTATAAGAGTTTACAAGGCCAGGCACAGTGGCACATGCCTGAAATCCCAACACAGGAAGATCTTAAGTTCAAAGGCAGCCTAAGCAACTTAGGCTTTAAGCAACTTAGCAAAACCCTACCTCCCCAAAACAAAAAGGGCTGTCAATGTGGCTCAGTAGTTAAGTGCCCCTGGGTTCAATCCCTAGTATCAAAAAGAAAAAAAATCACCAAGGAAGAATAATAAGCATGGCAGCCCAGAGATTAAAAAGGTAAAAAGTAACATGGAGCCACTAACATCAAAGAACATTCCCCCAGACAAATAATATTGTATTAAAAAAAAAAGTTACAGTTATGCTAATACAGTAGGCATCAGCCACATGGTGCCTTTAAAAATAAACTAGATTTAAAATTTATCTTTCCAGGTATGGTGGCCCACGTCTGTAACCCCAGCAACTTGGGAGGCTGAGGCAAGAGGACCACAAGTTCAGGGTTAGCCTGAGCAACTCAACAAGATCTTGTCTCAAAATAAAAAATAAAAAAGGCTGGAAATGTAGCTCAGTGAAGGAGTGTACCTGACCATACATACAAAAGCAAGTTACAGTACACTATTATAAGCAATCATCTGTGTTTTAAAAAACATTATTTACAAATGTGCTTATATTTGCATATGTAATTCTAGGACACAACACAAACACACACATACACACACACAAAAAAAACTGGAAACAGTGCCTGTATTAGGGTCAGGGGTGGTATATGGAACATGCACTTTTAATTTTAGGCCCCTTTTCAGTTTGTTTATCCCAGATAAATGAATAAAAGGGAAAGCTTGACCGTATCATTGGTGAGTGAAAAATGGAAAGTATCTCTTAGATTTATTAATTGGGAGGGTCATAGATAATATCTGAATTAGTTCTACCATACCCCGAACAATGATGGAAACCAAGATTCTGAAAATCAATTATTCCAGTTTTCCACTCTGCTCACAAAGATCTGCAGAGGTTATAAAATTTATCTATGTCCTGTAGTGGCAGTATGGGAGTACAGTCCAAGTCTGACTTCTGGTCCAATAAACGTTCTCTCTCCATCTGTACTGTGTACCCCACTCCCACATGAAACGTTCAGAGGAGCCGTCTACAGAGGCCACAGCAGGCTTACCTCTAGGGCTCCACCCTGTACCTTCTTGATTCCGATCATTTTAAGCTGCAGCAAATCATCAAGCATCATCACAGCATCAACCACCATCTTAGCAAAGAAGGCTTTCTGCTGAGAGATCAGCTTGGAGCTCAGAGCCGTCATGGCACACTTTTCTAGCAGCTTCCTCTGCTCCCTGGGACACAAAGGCAGAATCTGTATCAGGTCTTGAAAACATAATCCTTCTTACCTGATTCTACTGTGATGTGGAGGTAGTTCCCTTCCAGCCTTTAGTCTCAGCCCTCTTCAATTTCACCTTCAGTATCATTAGGACAGAAGATCAGTGACAGAGGGCGGCTGTAGTCAAAGACCTCCCATGTGAAAACTTTTAAACTACGATCTATAGCTTCTTTTTTGCCGTGCTGGCTGGGGCACAGCCAAGATTCTAACAAGAGCCAAAGTGCCTCAGGCCCATATAGGGATTTGCCAAGTGCTTCCCTGCATCCAATTTGGCGACAGGAAGTCAAGGTTCTGACAAAGCCCACTGCAAACTTACACTTTATCTTGCTTCTTCACAGTCACAGCAATCTCTTTGATCTTGTTAACTGCCTGCCAAGAACAGAAGTTGAGTTGAGTTTCTTATGTTACAGACAAACTGGTAAAGTGGACAATTTCTCGTTAGTGCCTTGTCTGTTTACTCCAAACCTTAAGCATTTCTACTCTACAGCTCAAACAACATTCCTAGGTCCTATAACTGCCTATGAATATGTAAAACGCTGTAAGGTTAGAAAATTCTGAAAGTGTAGAATAAGTAGAAGAATCATCAGGGTACTCCCAGGATTCAGCTCTGGATCAGGTAATATATTTAAAACAAGTAAGTGAAGGGTTAGGGATGCAGCTCAGTTGTGGAACACTTGCCTAGCATGTCCAAAGCTTTGGGTTTGATCATCAGCACCACAAAACAAAAGAACACAACTGAATGAAAACAAGTCATGACACTAGATTAGGACAAAACCTCTGGCTTACTAAAAACACCTCTGTCTTCTAGCACTTTATTAGTTGTAGCCCTAAGTAACTTAGTGAAACCCTGTCTCGTAATAAAAAATAAAAAAGGGCTCATTGGTCAAGCACCCCTGAGTTCAATCCCCAGCCCCCCAAATACAATGTGTATACATATATATATATATATATTTTTTACGCATGTGTATAGATACATGTATATATGTACTTTATCTTTGCCAAAGCACTCCCCATATATAATCTCATTTTAATGTCACCACCAAACCTTCTCCCCTTGCTGATGACAGCAAAGGAAGAAAGTAAAGCCTAGCAAGATTAAGTATCTTGTCCTAGGTCACAAAATAGCTAGGTCTTAAGATGAGCTAGAAGTACTTGAAGGAAATAAGGTTGGGGATGTAGCTCAGTGGTAGCGTGCTCACCTATCATAGCAAGACAAAAAAAAAAGGTTGTCACTTACTGAGACTATATCTATATCAAAATATACCAGGCTGACTCCAACCAGAGGTTTAATCTATCTCATCAACCAGCTACTGAATAGAAGTTCCTAGAAAGAAGTCAGGAAATGCCCAAATAACCCTATTCTTGCAGTCACTCCACACGCCAGTTAAATTATTATCCTAAGAGGAATGTGAAGATGCCCAACTACAAGGTCAGGTGAACCAGTGATCCTGTACCAATTGAGTGGCCGTTCGGAAAGCTCGGATGATGATCTGGGGGTGCAAACCTTCCTCCACATACGGTTTCACTTGCTTCAGAAACTCTGCAGCCAGTAGGGTCACTGAAGTGGTACCATCACCAACCTGGAAAAGAATGACAGGAAACACACATTCTCTGATGTTCAGGAAGCACCTTGAAACTCCATTTTCAGGCAACCTTGAACATTTAACAGGCATTTAAACTGGACATTATTTAAATAGGTGTCAAGCTTTTTTTCTGTAAACACAGGTTTTTGCAACAAAAAGAACATGATAGTAGTCCTAACTACTTATCAATTGGTTCTAGACTACAAAAATTAATTCCCAGATAACCCCATTCTCCAAAGAGGGTTGATTTAGATAATCAATTTTCTCAATGGGGCTGGAGTCGTGGTTCAGTGGTGGAGCACTTGCCTAGCATGTGTGAGGCACTGGGTTTGATCCTTAGCACCACATAAAAAATAAAAAAATAAAAGTATTGTGTTCATCCACAACTAAAAAAATTATATAAAAAAATTTTCTCAGTACATGAAACCAAATACATGAATTAACTGAGAACATATTAACTGTAGTCAAGGCATTGTGATAATTTCCTTGTAGATAATCCAATATTCACTTTTAACTTTAAACCATACTGTTTTATAAGCTACTGGGTCCTAACAAACCTTTACACTTCAGGACATATCTGGAATATACATATTCCACAGTATTCTAAAACATAAACCCATCTCTTTCAGTGTTTATCATCAAGACTCCATTGTTAGAACTGATTTAGGAAAGACAGGATAATGCTACAGAACTGTATACTTGAAATGGTTAAAAGGATAAATCTTGTTATATTTTACTATCATTAAAAAAGGTACACCAAGGGCTGGAGATATAGCTCAGTTGGTAGAGTACTTGCCTTGCATGCACAAGGTTCTAAGTTCAATCCCCAGTGACACACACATACACACACAGGCACACCAGAAAGAGTTTCCAGCCCCATTTTGTAGGTAACTAAAAGATGAGAAGTGAAACTATTTACTATTCACGTGATAACAGTACATGGGCCTGCTCCTAAGAGCTTAGACTTAGTCTTTAGGATCTCATACCTAAAGATCATTGCCATTGACAATGTGTTAACAGATATGAAAGCTACATGCAATAGTATGAATTCTTTTTTCTTTTCCCTTTGGTACTGTGGACTGAACCCAAAGGTGCTTAATCACTAAGCCATATCCCGGTCCTTTTTTATATTTTATTCAGACACAGGGTCTCACTGAGATGCTTAGGGCCTTGCTAAACTGCAGAGGCTGGCTTTGAACTCACAATCCTCCTGTCTCAGCCTCCCACACCACTGAGATTATAGACATGCACCACCCTGCTCCTGGATAGAATAGTATAAATTCTTTTTTTAGTTATAGATGGCCACAATACCTTTATTTATTTATTTATTTTTATGTGATGCTGAGGATCAAATCCAGTGCCTCACACATGCTAGGTGGGTGCTTTGCCACTGAGCCACAACCTCAGCCCTAGTATAAATTCTCAAAAGATTATTTTTGTAAGCATATATTATAAAAGTATAATTTTAGACATAAAACTAAAAAGTTATAAGAGATAAAAGGAAGGTAGCAAGCAGGTATGAGTTTCAATCTCCACTTAAAATCATATGATTAATTTTCCTACCTCAGCATCTTGGGACTTGGCAATGTCCACTAAAGTCTTTGCTGCAGGATGGACAACATCAAGCAGTTTCAGAATAGTGGCCCCATCATTAGAAATCGTTGCTTTGCCTTAAGAGAAACAAACAAAAACTTAAAGCCCCTTTCCTACATTCTGTCTTCTATTTGGACCTGGGGTCCATGTACACTTTTTCTTGGGATGAGGAAGAGGGGATCACAGTAGGAATTAAGGGAAAGATATCAATATCATCTTTTTATGTAATTAGCTCTGTGCACAAATTTTTATAGACCACTGGTTCCCAATTTTCTTTCAATAGCAATCAATACAGATCAATATGATGTAGAAAAATATTTTAAATGAGAAGATACACAGTGAATACCCTAGTATTTTGACACTAAAACATAAAGAGAATTTTCTCCTTGTCTTGACATGATACAGTGGGAGTGATCACTGAGAACTCCAATTGGTTTATTTCAGTTTTCTAGGTCACGTCTTCCTACAAGGCAATGGCTTTTGAGACCAGGTTCTCCCATATATTCCTACAAGTGTTCAAAAATCAGGACAATGTATGAATTGGAACTGCTTTAATCTGAGCAATCCCTTAGAGATCTTATAAGCAGTGGGATTTTTGGTGCCAACCTGTACTAGTCCCAAATACCACCCAAGCCTCTCCTCTCATGCAAAATAGGCCTTGAGGAACCCAGTAGACTTACCTCGGCCATCCACAATAAGTTTGTCCATGCCACGAGGACCCAGGGTAGTTCTTACAGCCTCGGCGATCACCTGGCAGGCACTAATATTGCTCACAAGCTGAGGGATGCCTTGGGAGCTATCAGTACCCTCTTTCAACAGGATAACTGGTGTGGGCTAGGAAAGAAAGAACAATTACCTGCTTTTAATAATCATTTATTATAACGAAACTCAAGAGGGGAGGGTACAGGAAAAATGCTCCCAACTCCTTCATACAATTATCTAAAGGCCTTTCTAAACCACATTCCCCAACCATTTACCTCCAGAGGCATTGTCAGGCATGCAAGGCAGGAAAATGGTTTCAGGAGCACTGACCTAGACTAGAAGAACAAATCACATGTTCTAAAGTGCCCAGTTGAATGAGCATGGCCTTTTCAACTTTCGACCTTATTATTTCTTGTGCTAAGGATTAGATCACAGAACAAGAGGAAGAAGGAGGCCCTGGTCAGGATTCAACCCCAAAGCAAAACATCTACTGGTCTGTTACAGCTCAATCTTAAAGAAACAGATGGGGCACCTGTGCAGTATGCAAGGCACAGACAGCTTGAGGTGTATCCCAGAGAGGCACAGGGCTTTACCAGCTGGAGTGAGTGTAGAAGACAGAGAAACAGCACCTTTGTCTTGCTTCATAAAATGACAACACATCTAATTCACATAGCAATGTTTCCATCTTATGCTGGCTCCATAAAGCTTCCATGTGACTAATTTCCAAGAAGGTGCCCCAGAAGTTTATTTCTTCCTTTGTCACACTGGACTCAAAAGGGCCACTATCCCTTTAAGGGCTTCATTTGAAGATCTGCTTCAGAAACTCTGGGAAGACAGAGAGCTTGGTCTTCCCCCCAACCCCTAACAGACACACCAGTACCAGGGATTGAATCTAGGGGATCTCTACCTTTGAGGTACATCCCAAGCCCTTTATTATTTTATATTGAGACAGAGTCTGGCTAAGTTGCTGAAGCTGGCCTCGAACTTGTGATCCTCCTGCCACAGCCTCTGGAGTTGCTGGGATTACAGGTGTGTAACACCATATCTGGCATACTGCTTTTTCTAATTTTTAAAAAGTTTATTTTATTGGTTCTTTTTAGTTATCTATAACAGTATAATCCATTTTGATAAAATTATACAAGCACAGAATGTATCTTACCATACCACTTTTTCTTAAAGGGACTACTTAGAGCTTTTATCCAGTGGCAAGTAGCACAGACAATGGCTAGCGAACCAAAGTTTGCATCCAAGCCCAAGCCTTTAGAGATGAGTTGTGAATCAGATCTAGTATTCTGGGTGTTGGGCCAATTTTTCAAGTGAATCAGAACTATTTCAACACGTTTTACTGTCTATTATAATTGTCAACTAGCTATGATTTTAATTTCTTTCTTTTCTTTTCCCCGTGTAGTACCGAGTATTGAACCCAGGATGCTCTACCACTGACCTACATCCCCAGCCCTCTGTATTTTAAGACAAGTTCTCACTAAGTTGCTGAGGCTGGATTCAACCTTGTCATGTCCTGCCTCAGCCTCCTTAGTCTTATATTTATTTCTTACTGTAACATGAAATAAAATGTTTACAGGCCATCCACCTCTAGGGTGTTAACCCTACCTCAGGTACTGAGCAAGGGAAGGAAAAAAAAAGTATAGGTTGCCTCAGCCTTACAATAAGGAGTAAAGAATTCATATTCCAGAAACAGTCTAGCGATCCATGAGCCTGGTTCCATATGAACTAGGCAATTCTTTAAAATGCTCAACTTCTTGGCTCAGCGGGAATGAACAATAGGAAGACTAAAATAAAGATGAACAAGTAGGCAGGAAGCAGATCTCACACACCTCAGGCTGTGGCAAGAAGTTCAGATGTTATTCCTACAGAAAAGGCAAGCCCAGAAAAAATTTTTAGCAGTGGATTGGTGTCACAAAGTGGGGATGGGCCATAATCCCATTTTTAAAATTAAAAAGGGCTCTATTATAGCACAATGCTGACTACCCCCAACTCAATTCTCAGTACCACAAAACAAAACAAAAACTACCATAGAAAACAGATAAAAGGCAAGATATAATATGTAAATGTATAAAAAGGATGGAAAGATGTCCAACAGACTCTAAGGAATAAGAATGGGAGTATTTGGGGGCTAGGTTTATAGCTCAGTGGTAGAGTTCTGGCCTCACACCTGAGGCACTGGGTTCAATTCCCAGCACGACACAAATAAATAAATAAATAAATAAATGTCTTGTGTTCATCTATAATATATATATAAAAAATAAGCACACATTACAGGTGTGGGTACACATGCAAGATACAGCCCACGAACTGGTACATGCTAGGCAAATGCTTTACCACTAAAAACACCCTCCAGTCCTCCCTGACAAGCATTTTGCCTGTCAGAAAACCCCCTGTATCTGGGACCTGGAATGAGGATATAGGGAAAAACTTTCCTTTTCCTGGAGTGGCCCAGGTCAGGTAGCAAGAACGGCTTCTCTATACTCCCAGTCCTTCAGACCTAGTCCCTGGCACCTTCTGAAATGGGCAGATGTGTCTTCTGTAAGGTACCACTTTCTCCCAGTCCTGCCAAGTCATTCCTTAGGAATGCTAAAGTTTTCTCTGGTTCACCCCAGCCTTGGAATCTTCTGCTTTAAATTAAAACCAACCCAAGTCAAATCCATTTTAGCACCTTCTTTGTCTCTTTGACAGGCTACTTTATCTGATGCTTTTATAGATGTTTTCTCAACTCCACATCCAACTTGTACCCTTATCTACAACAGTCACCCTACCATTTTCTACCAAAACCACTTTCCTACCAAATTCCTAAGAGCCTCAATTCTTCCATGAATTTTCTCTAGAGCAGTAAATGGAACAATTGGAAGAGGGGAATCTCCTTTCTCTCCATTCCCCTTGCTCACAACTTATATATCACCATGCATCTTAAATAAGTATGAGTTTCCCAAAGGTAAGGAACACAGTATCCTAACCTTGCAGGGCCAAGATCTGGCCACAGATGAAACAATATGCATCAGCTTTTCAAGCTGAAAATTCAACTGTTATGTGAACGTGCTTGATGTAAGACAGCAATGGCTTCTTAACTTTTTTTTTTTGGAAATAAAATGGCACTAAATTTACTGAGAATTCTTAAGTACAAAGCAAGGATCAAGAAGCAGCTCATTACAGATTCCAAGTTATCTATCCTTGTAGGCCATACAGAAATAGTAGGCTGAGGAGAAGAGATCCTAAAGGGAGGGAAGGGTGGCAGAATTGGAGTGAGCCAAGCCAGGCCAAGCAGGGTGGGTCATTTTCTATCAGTTTCCCAGCAGCAGACTCTGCTATGGAGAGCATAAGTTACTTTCAATGTCACTCATTTTTTAATTTTTTTCTGTAGTTGTAGATGGACAGCATGTCTTTATTTTGTTTATTTTTATATGGTGCTGAGGATGGAACCCAGTGCCTCACATGTGGAAAGAAAGCGCTCTGCCACTAAGCTACAGTCCAGCTCCTCAATGTCAAGTATTTTTATTCCTCCAGTACTCTGACAAGGAAATCACAAAAGGCTGGAATTTTAGCTTAATGATCTTCCTCTTCAACCTCCTTAAAAATGTTTATTAAACATTAAGCTTGATGTTCTATAAAACAAAGCACGCAGAGCTCAATACCACAAAGGCAGGGACATACACTATGTTCAAACTGTCTCAAAGTCACAGAACTGAGGTTTCAGGAGCTGAGCTTGGTGGCACACACCTGAATCCCAACTACTCAGAAGGCTAAGGCAGAAGGACCTCCAGTTTGAGGTCAGCCTGGGCAACTCATTGAATGCTGTCTCAAAAATAACAAAGCCAAAGCGGGAGAGGGGTTAAAGCTTCAGGGGACTCTTTTACCTCTCTTTCCATCACAGGCTTCTAGAACATCAGAGACAAATTTTATGCCAGCATAGAGGACTCCTGGTGGTAGAAGTTTCACATTCCAAAAGGAAGTGAGACATCCAAGAAGTAAACAGTCAATCTGACACAGCAGGAAGAATCAATTCAAGTGAAACTCAAATGCAGTGGTTTGTAGCCCTTTGGTAAGGGGTTTTATCACAGCACAGGAGGACTGTGGTTCTGATCATCAGTTCTTTAAAAGCCAACCAAAGCTCTCATAGAAACTTTGGCAGCAGGAAGTAATATAGGGAGGAAAGGAAGCAACTGCTTAGTTAACATCTGCTAAATGTTTACTACACGCCAGGCACTTTACAAGTAAATAAACCATGTAATTCTGTGCACCAATACTCTATTGCTATTCCCTCTAAGAGACTAAAAGCCAGAAATTAAATATACTCAAAAATCACACAGCTGAACCGTGGCAGAGTTAAGTTATACACAAAGGACTCTAATGTAGTTCCAGAGACCTTATTTTCAAACATTGCACTATGTGTGCTACTCTACAAAGAGCAAGACATCTTCAAGAACAAATAATGAAAAAATTTTAAAATTAATAAAGAGAATAGTAATGATGAAGACTGGAAAATGAATGAGCCAAGGAAGGATACAAGGTATTGCCATCACCTGCTCAGAAGCTAAGTTAGCCCTCTCAAAAGCAACCTAGACTATACCACTATACCACCAATGCTTGAGACACAGGGAAGGTATCTGAAACTCGTGAGAGGGAGAAATGGGGCGCAGTGTTGCTGAGCTACAGGGAAACCTTTGGGACACTCTAACATTCATAACGCAGCAATGAGCGCAAGCGCGGGCACACACACCCACTTCTAAGAAAACTAGACACAGAGTTCGGTCGCCAACTAGAAAATCTTGTCTAATGTCACCGGAAACAGAGTGCAGGTCGTCCCACCGCCGCTACTGTATCCCCCTCTGCCTAGCCCATTTTCCCAGCTGAAAGGCTGCATCCCTAGTAATCCTCTGGGCCTGGTACATTCAGTAAGCATTAATATGTACCAATTTGGTGACTGCGCGAGTAAATGAATGAATTTAAGTATGAGTGGAGTAATGTTTTCATATATGCAACAGCCGAAGAGCTGCGGGTCGCTGGGCGCGGCCCAACAAAAGATTCTCAACGCTGCCTGTGTCCGTTCTAAAAGCACACTCTTTCAATCCAGCAATCTCCAAGGGCAGCCCGGGCTTTCAAGCCTAGTTGCGGGCCGCGTATGCACGCCCGACCCACACTCGTTTCACACAGGTCCCTACTGTGGGGAGCTTCGAAAAGGGGTTCCCAACGTGGCTTCGCGGTCCCGAAGCACCCTGGGATCTGTAGTCCCCGACCCTACCAGAACCCTGAGCCCCACAGAACGCAAGCCAACCGCTCCCGCTCCATGCCCGAATCGACTCAGGCCGCGGCCAGCCGGAGTCGCCCGCAGTCAGGGAGCCAAGACGAGGTCCGAGGCAAGAGTCTGGAAAAGATCCTACAAGGCTGCCCCGGCTGAGCGGCGACAGCCACCGACCAGATGGCAGCGGATGGCGATGGATGCGCGAGACACCACTCACCATCATTTTGGAAGCTTGTTCAGTGGCCCGCTAGTCCTCTGTTCTCGCTGTCGGGCCGCCCAGCAAGCCCACAATGCCCTGCGCCGGAGAAGTCCCCAGAAGCTTAGCCAAGCCGTTGAGCCGGTAGAGGAAGAGGATGGGCCACTTCCGCCACTCTATGGTTTGCTACCACCGAGTCGGTGTGGCTAGAAGTTCCTGAGGCTGTTTCTGGGTTGCTCTAGTTAGAGGCGTTACTTCAGGGGTCGCTGTACTTCGAAAATGCTTCTTTTAGAGGATGTAAGATCCTTTATAGACCTGTGTCACCCACTAACATTGGTTTCACTCCCCTCCGTTCCCGGACGCCAGGACAAGGAATGAAATAAACGCAAACATCTATTGAACGCCGACTGTGTGTGCTAATGTGAAAGATCACGTATCGCGTTGATACTATTATTGTGCCACTTTACAGACGAGGACAGGTAGAGAAAAGTGTCCACAATCACAAATGCACAGCAAGTGGGAGCGAAGCGGGCATAAGAAACTAGCCTCAATGTCCGGAGTCTGGCTCCGCGCTGGCCAGCGCCTCCTCGCGGGTGGGATGCGTCAAGTCGCGGCTCCAACTCTTATCGACAGTGAGCCCGCAAGCAATGGTGTAACTGCGCGAAGGACTAGCTAGACAATTGCTTTCGCGAGAAGGGGAGGAGGAGGAGGAAAACACGGATAGGGAAAGGCAAATCGTCCAGCCAAGCATCAATGGAGAGGGTCCGGCTGAGACCACAAGAGCCTACGGCCAGAACTTTCAGCAACTGAAGAGATCCTTGCGAGCCACCCACCAGTTCCCCATCCTCCTCGCCCCGCCTACTGCCAGCAGGGTACTGGAGAGTCGAATCTATACCAAGAAACGCGGGGGCGGAGCTCAGTCGAGGGCCAGCAGTTGCTGTTAAAGAGTTTAGGCCAATCACACATCAGCTCCACTTCTCTCGACCAATAGAAAGTGGGCTAGGGCGCAGAGGTGGAAAGTGCGGCTACACGAGCAGGTGTCAGAGCCAATCAGCCGTGGACCTCGTTCCCGTCCGCCAATCGGCGAGGAGAGCGGGTCTGTGGGCGGGAGGCCGGAGCAGCTGTCAGGCTAAAGTCCGGCAAGCTACGCGCTGCTGGACGGCTGGAGAAAACGCGGCGCCGGGCCGGGCCCTGGAGATGGTCCCCGGCGCCGCGGGCTGGTATTGTCTCGCGCTGTGGCTCCCCGCGTGCGTCGCGGCCCATGGTAAGCGGCAACGGGCGGGGCTGTGGGGCGGGGCTGACCGTCCAGCTTACGCGCGTCTCGGGCCAGGGGCCACGGGTCACCTTGGGGACCCCGCGAGTTATGAGTCGGGTAAGTCTGGAGACGGGCGGCTAGAGTGGGTGGGTGGGTGCTGTTCCATAGGGATGTGAGTTGGGCGCAGCTTCAAGCTGGATTCTGAATCCTCAGTTACCCACGTCGAAGCTGCCCCCACCCCCCTCCAATAAGGACAACCCCGGGGACTTGAGGTGCGAACAGGAGGAAGCACAAGGGACAGATGGAGGCAAGAACCAGAGATATATGTCAGCATTCACATATATACTACAAGATCACGTATTCCTACATGTGGGTTCATACGCCCAAGCATTCACCTACACAACCCACTTGCACCTGCACAAGCACATAAATATATATATATACTATGCATGTACATGAGGTATATCTACCCACAATTTACATAGAAAAGCATATGCAAATGTCAAGCAAGAGTGTGGGAGAGGGGGCAAGAGGGAATCGTTTAACGCTAATCCAGCATGGCTTCTCCGGGATGTCATTGTATCTGATGGGGAATCCCCACTCCCAGGATAAAAGGCTATTATACCCCAGTGCCAAGCTCATGGAGCTCTACCTGGTGGCTGAGTTTTGGACAGTAGACAAGGACAGCTAGAGCCACAATCAATCTCAACCCTGGCATACGGTGATAGTTTGGTTTGTTTATTAACAGACCTATGGCAGCAGCTTCCTTCCTTCAGTTTCTCCCTGCTAAGGAACCCAGGGACTCAGCTCCAGCTAAATCATTAGGCTTTGATGCTGAAAAGAAGTTCCCATACCCAGAAAATTCTGGTGGTTCTGGCAACTTTCCTGCTCAGGACAATGGAGCTAGGCATAGTTATTTTTCATTCATTCAATAACCTTTACTGAGCACCCACTACATTCTGGCCATTATGTTGGCAACAGGGATTACAAACTTAACAATCCTTGTCCTAGTGGGGAAAGCAGACATTAAAAAGTAGGAATACTATAAAGTATGAATTATGTTGAGTGTATCAAATGGAAAAAAAGTACATTTTGACTAGGAGGACAGGGCAATCATAAAGCAAAAACTTAGATCTGGGAAAGTGACATTTAGGCTGTATCTTAAAAAATGACTGGAAGTGAGTCAGGCAAAGAAGTGGGATGATACGGGAAAAGGAAGCATTCCAGGTAGAGGGAACAGCTTGCAGAAAGACCCAAAGAAGTGAAGAAACTGAAAGGAGGCCAGTGTATCGTGGGAAGGAGATGAGGTTGAAGCAGTGGCCAAGAGTCAGATCATACAGGGTCTTTTAGGCCATAGTGCAGTGTCAACTTTAAGTGCAAAGGAAATTGCTGAAGAGCACTGAAGCCCTGGGAGTGAAGATATGATAATTCCTAAGATGTTTTAAGATCCCTGGCTTTACCAGGAGTGGTGGTGCATGTCTGTAATCCCAGTGATTTAGGACCTTGAGGCAGGAGAATGGCAAGTTTGAGGCCAGCCTCGACAATTGAAACCCTCAGTAACTTAGCAAGACTCTGTCTCAAAAAATAAAAAGGGATGGGAATGTAGTTCAGTGGCAAAGCACCACTAGATTCAACCTCCAGTTACCTTAAAAAAAAAAAAATCCCTGGTGTTTATTTGATGGATGGACCTTGGCAACCCAGAATAGAAGCAGATGGAATACTGAGGCAGGAGGATGGTTTGATCCCAGGAGTTGAAAACCAGCCTGGGCATCATAGTGAGACCCTGCCTCAGACAAAAAGGAAAAAAGAATGGAGGCAGTAGACCATTAAGAAACTGAAACTAGGGCTGGGGATGTGGCTCAAGCAATAGCGCGCTTGCCTGGCATGCGCGGCCTGGGTTCAATCCTCAGCACCACATAAAAATAAAATAAAGATGTTGTGTCCACTGAAAACTAAAAAATAAAATATTAAAAATTCCCTCTCTCTCTCAATAAATAAATAAATAAATAAGTAAAGCTGAAACTAGACTGGGGTTGTAGTTCAGTGGTGGAGCACTTGCCTCACATGTGTGAGGCACAATTTTCGATCCTCAGCACCACCACGTAAAAATAAATAAATAAAACAAAGGTATTGTGATCATCTATAACTAAAAATATTTTTTTAAAAAGAAACTCTCGAGGCTGGGGATGTGGCTCAAGTGGTAGCATGCTCGCCTGGTGTGCGTGAGGCACCGGGTTCGATTCTCAGCACCACATAAAAATGAAATAATGATATTGTGTCCACCTAAAACTGAAAAATAAATATTAAAAAAAAACTCTCAGGAGAGATATCATAATTGGACTAAGGGAATGACAGTGAACTGGAGTTAACTTCCAAATTTCACTTAGGAATATTTTTGTGTTCAGGACACTGTATCTCCACTGCGAATTTCCCAGGTCCACTTTAGAGCAAAGGTGAATTAACCATAGACCTCTCGGTCTTCCTGGCTCACCTAAAGAAGCAGCAGCAGGAAATATAAATCTCTGAGGTTACTAACTCCACATCAATTCTCTTCCTCAGGAGTGAGGACCCACACTCCCATCCAAAGGACCCGAGACTATAGTTAACCCAGTTGAAGACATGGGGTCTGTGATCTAAACCTGTTCCTGGGAGGTTTTTCACCTGTACTCTTTATCCTTTAGGCTTACGCATCCATGATTATTTGTACTTCCAAGTGCTGAGTCCTGGGGACATTCGATATATCTTCACAGCCACACCTGCCAAGGACTTCGGTGGTATCTTTGTAAGTCCAAGGATGTACCTGATCTCTGATCCTCAGCTCTGCCCCTTTGCCTCCCTGAGCTCTGGTGACTCTGAATCAGGGAAGGAGAGTTCAGCTATGCTCTGGAGGAGCTGCAGTACAGAAAAGAAGCACTTCCAACTACTTCCCCAAGCATACAATAGACTGGGTTCCATGAAGGGACAAACCATCTCTTTGGGGGTCATGAAACAGTGAAAAAACAAGGGCACCAAGCTTCTCTGCCAGCTCTCCCTCTGGGCACCTACTTTCCTGAATCTATGACCAAATTTACCTACCTAGCTCAAAGCAAGGTGGGCTGGGGTTGGACAACCAGATAGGCCTTTGTGAGAATCAAGGCTGGAGTGCCCAGCAACACAAGAAACCACTCCATATTTCCTTCACTCTTTATGATGAGGGCCAGTAAGATGGGCCCGTCAAGCCCAGTCCCAAAGCAGATGTGTCTGGTCTTCTTATACTTTCTCCTGTTCAAATGCCTAAACATTATTTAGCACACAAGATATGAGCAGATTCATCTTGTCCCTGCTGAACCTCCAGAGGCTTGTGGGGAACTCAGCAACGGCTTCTTCATCCAGGACCAGATTGCTCTGGTGGAGAGGGGGTAAGGAGTCAACGGGCATGGCACAAGTAGGGGGCAGGCATAGGGCAGATTCTGAGATCATGGCCGGTGGTGGTGGTAATAGCTGGTTTTGAATTCTTTTAAAGGCTCAAGGCTATCCATACTTTTGGCTTTGTACTTAGGAGTCTTTATAACAAGTTCTACATGATCCTTCTTTCTCCTCTGACCTCACCTCTTCCAGGGGCTGCTCCTTCCTCTCCAAGACCCGGGTGGTACAGGAGCACGGTGGGCGGGCCGTGATCATCTCTGACAATGCAGTTGACAATGACAGCTTCTATGTGGAGATGATCCAGGACAGTACCCAGCGCACAGTGGACATCCCTGCTCTCTTCCTGCTCGGCCGAGATGGGTGAGGGGTCCTTGTCTTCGGCTGTCAGCAGCAACTGGGTAACATGACTTGGGAGGTGAAGGGTAATCACCAGCCTCTTCCTATAGACCTCATCTTGGGGTGCCTCAGTTGGAGGGCAAAAAGACTCCTTGGGCTTTAGAACCCAAGAGTGATGGGGAAAGTGGGACATGTTATGATGCTCAGAAAATGTGATCACCACCACCTCTCTTCATGCCCTCCTAGCTACATGATCCGTCGCTCCCTGGAACAACATGGGCTGCCATGGGCCATCATTTCCATCCCAGTCAATGTCACCAGTATCCCCACCTTTGAGCTGCTGCAACCTCCCTGGACCTTCTGGTAGAAGAGCTGGACTCACATTCCAGACATAAGCAACTCTGAGCTGGGAAGGGGAGACCCAGGAATTCTACTATTT